GCACGGGGCCCTGAAACTGGGCGAAGTCTGGTCAATAGCTGCAGAGGCCCAGGAAGGAGTGTCGTGGAACTTGCGCCATCTCGGGGCATTGGGGAGATAGGCCGCCCCGGTCAGTGAGTCTGCCCAGTGACTGACCATGTATGCCTTGGAGGACCAGGGCTAAAAGGGATTTATTTCTCTGAGATGTGTTGCATCAGTGTTTAGCCGGTGAAAGCGTGGGGCTGTTTTTAGGGGCGTTTGTTTTTAGACTGGGCTGTAATCCAGGGTTGCCTCTGGCTCCTTTTAGAACGTTCTGGTCTCTTCGAAACTATCTTAGGCTGCTCTGTTTGTGGCATTCTTAAGGTGTTTTTTATTTTTATTTTTTATAGCTTTTCTAGTTTCCCTTCTAATTTGCTGTGTCCCAGGAAACCCGAACACAAACCTCATTTGAATTCGCATACAGAGAATCAGCAGACCCTGAAGGAGGGGCGGCCCCAGGGCCCTTCCCCGGAGCTCCCAGGGGGGCATGGACCATGTGTGTTCCGATGGTTCCGAGGCCCTTTTCCGGGCCTTCTAAGGTTGGGGGAGCGTTCCCCCAGCACCGTCGCCTGTTTCTCTCCCTGCATTGGGGGGCGGTGTTTTATGTGGAGCCCTTGGCAAGGAGGAGTCCAGGTGTGGTGGTTTATAAGCGCATAAACTGGGCAACTTGGCAACTCCTGAGCAACCGGGCACCTCAGCGTGAAAGATACCAAAAGCAGGTGTTTGTGAGCCCAAGAGAATCGTGTGGGGGGAAAAGGGGAGAAAAAAAGAAAGGGAGTGATCACCAAAACATGTCTGCCAGACTAGACTCATAAAACTTCTCAGTGAAGACTTTCAAACGTAGTGAAAAGGAAAAGGAAAATTAAGTGGATTTCTGGGTTCCCCGTACCCAGCTTTAATAATGATATGACCTATAGTTGCTATTCTATTATCGTAACTACATTAACTGTAGTTAATAACACTGTATCGTATTATTCATACGACATTACATTATGATAACATTACAACTATATTAACTATAGTTCATCATACTGGATTGTATATTTGAAAGTTGCCAGGAGTGTGTAGATTTTAAAAGGCCTCATCACAAAAAACAAACAAACAAAAAAAGAACTTGTAACATCGACACAAAAATTTAATTATGGATGGTGATGGATGTTAATTAGACTTATTGAGGTGATATGTTTGCAGTATATACAAATATCAAATCATTCTCTTGTACACCTGAAACTAATATAATGTTCTTTGTCAATTATATCTCAATTAAAAAATCATATTACCACATTGCTTTTTTTGCCTTAGAGTTTAGAATAATAAGATCATTACAAGCCTGCAGTATTTCCCTCTCAGATCCTACCCTTCTCTCCTGGGGCACCCACCGGCCTGAATTTAGCTTTATTTCTTCCAGTGCAGGTTTTTATTCTTTCAGTACATATTTTTTTATCCACTTATCGTAAGTAGCATTCTTCACGCATACGTAGCATGGGTCACTTCATGCAGGTGGTACAACATTGTACATATTCATCCATAACTTGCTTTTCTTCCTCACTATGACATTTATGAAATTCATGCTTCTTGTCTCTGATTCATTCATTTTTCACTAGTGTTGAGCAGGGGTTGGCAAACAATGGCCCCTGGACCAAATTTGACCTACTGCCTGTTTTTGTAAATAAAGTTTTATTGGAGCCCAGCCATGCTCTTTGTTTACGAATCTTCTGTAGCTGCCTTGCACTACAATGGGAAAGATGAGTAGTTAAGACAAAGACCAAAGGGTTAGCGAAGTCTAAAATATTTGCTATCTGGCCCTTTACAGAAAAAGTGAGCCCAGCCCTGCCGGTAGAATTCTGATGTAGCAATATCGCACATTGTAGCTATTCTTCTATGAGTGACATTTGTGCCATTTTTAATTTTTTTAATATTTTATAAACAGTGCTCAGTAGCACTTTTTTTTTGCTCAAAATTCTGTGCAGAGTGTATAACTGGATGGGCACATGCACCTTAAATTTGACCGAATATCACTAAATTGGCCTCCAAGGTGGACCCACCAATTTGCACTCCCACCAGCCGTCTGTGAGACTTCCTCTCCCCGCACATCCTGCCGGCAGCCTGGAGTTCTCAGCCCTTAAGCTGGGCACGTTGATGCGGTTAACGTGGGTCTTCATTACAGGTCAGCGTTCTTTTAGGTTGTTGTTGACCGTTTGCCGTTGCGGGAGTTGCCTGCTCATGATATCCCCCGCCACTTCCCTACTGAGTTGCCTTTTTCCTCTGGAGTGACAAGAGTTCTTTGTGTGTCCTGGCTGCTGATCCTTTCAGTTATATGTGTTAATACCCCCCAGTGACTGGGTCTTCAGCCTGGATTCCTTACCAGAGCTGTGTCTTAAGGTCTAGTCAGCTTTAGTTCATCTTGAAGATATAAGTCATCTTTATATACACATGCACACATATGTACACATGTATGTAGCATGTGCATATGCACACACACGTGGGGAGCCGATATAGGGTTAAGCCTCGGACTGACCTGTTGGCAAAGTCACAAACAAGTCTTCTTCCGAGTCTTAATCTGAGAGGTGGCTGCTGATTTACACGCTGTCATTTAAAAAATAAAAATGGGGGAATTTGCCAGAAGCCGGTCCACCCTTGCTGCTTGATACAGTCACTGCAGGGAAGAAACATCTGCACAGCT